GACTTTAGAAATCATTGCTAATAGTGGGAAAACTCTCTTTCCATAACTTCACTCATATAAGCACAAATAAATAAAAGTTCAACGGCTTTGTTTTACCATTTCGCGGAAATGTCCCTATGTTATGTACCCATTGTGGTGTAGGGTATAACATTGTCGAACCCGATGTTGTACTTATACTTTTCTTATTTTTCACCACATTATTTCGCATTACATTACAGTTGATTAAAAGCTTCTTTTCCAAAAATGTAAATACATCTATAGTGATGGCCAATTTGCTATCTAATATTTCAACATCTTTGCTTTTTTCTCAGCATGTAAAAAAGGATACTTCTTAAAAAAATAAAAAACAAAGGAAAAATATACAAAAACATATTGGATATGTTTAGTTTTTATTATCACAATATGCTTTAGTATGTAGTTTATAGATACAGAGGGTTTCGACATCATTGTATATGAATAACAAATGCTGACCCATTTGAAAAATAACATTATGTAAAAAGTTTCCCAACCCAAATTGTTATTACTGTACGTTTCCCCCAGCTTTCAAATTCCCAAAATAATTTCAACATCAACAAAACCAAACAACAAGTGCTGACCCTGGTGTCGAAGGTGATTAAAGCAAATGGTCGTTGGTCATGTTCATAGAGTTATGGAATTGTACGTGTGTGTGTCTGGTTATCCTCAAATGTATATGAACTACTGCTAAAATAAAGTTTATATAAACTTTGAAAATTGGCTCACTTGGCTATGGGGATTATCGAGGAAACTCACATGCACAAACACTTTAATAATCATTTTAACTTGAATAGCAGTATGCCGAATGTTTTATTGAATGTTGAATTTGCAGGATTTCTTAGAAAAGTGTACACTAGAGAAAATTAAATATACGCATTTTTCAACGAACATTAATTACAATTTATTCAGAAAAGGAAGTTTGATAAAATTAAGTTGTTAGCACGGAGTTAATTGTAAGGACTAAGGAAAAGTTGTAATAAGAAATACAATTTCATGAGAATATCTCGAATTTTTGTTCATGGAGCGTTATTTAATTACACTGGGTGTATATATACATACAATTTGGTCAGTTACTTCAATCCTAAAATGTCAATGTGTTCAATACTGTAATAATACCGAAAATCAGGCGTTAACATTAGATGGCGACTATTCATATGATCCACCTTTTGAGCCGAAATGAAAATGTTCATATGTGCCTATATGCCAACAATATACGTAACATACTATAACAATATACGTACAAATACCGTTATCTTCACTGTTTCATAAGTCCTGATTTATATTAGGCGAGTTTACTTGCGGCAATTTTTATCGCTCTCTTTTGAATTTGCTTCATGCGTCTATACAAGGCAATTCGGTTTCAAAAATATATGTATATTTTTTACATTTTGTGACAATCCGCTAATCCTGGTCCCTCAAACACGTTCACAACCGTTGAAATCTTTGAAGTAGTGAGTAACAAATTTTGGATAACCGTCGAATTACTATCGCAGAGGTCGTGGATAATATTAGCATATCTTTCTACTCATGCCAGTTTTTATACCACACAGGTACAGGGTATTATGTGAGGGGTTTTTTTATTTTTTATAGGTTCTGATACAAATCTTAGTTTTCTAGAAAAGTTTACAAAACATATTAATGTGTAAGATGAAATTTGGTGCAGCTCATTTATTTCACCCAGAGATGAACCTATTGAAATTGGAAAAAAATCGACTCAGATTTAGATATTGCTCCTATGCAACATATCAAATTCAAGAAATTGTATTAATACATGACTATTTAAAGAAATAACATAAAAATAGGGGAGTATAGAACAATATACAACAAGAAAATGAAATAATAATACCAATGTTAGTATAATCGAGTGTGTGTCAAGTAATCTTGAAGTTGGTTCAAATTTATATAAAATGCAAAAAGGAGTAACTAACAAAAGCATAATTGTGTAGGGGAAGCAAAAAACTGTTTTGAATAAAAACTATAAACATGTCATGTGAAATGAAAACGTATGCCCGGCAGAGTGATATAATGGCAGTCATAACAATTAAGAAAAAATTTGAAGTTTTTGTTAGTTATGCGTTTTTGCTAAACCCACTTGTAGTTACGTCTTTTTGTTTTTTGTTTGTTTGACCGCAGACGTGTAAAACTTTGTCAACACATGTAGTTATTTGACATTCACAATATTCATTCAAAAAGTCAATTTTCACTTTTTTGTGTTAGTTACGCCTTTTTGCATTTTAGCTAACGATATAGCTTTCGTTTTTCGTCCGATTTTATATAAATGGTGCACCAAAGAGCCTATGCTTGTTCGATTTACATATCGTATTGAATTTAGTCTAGAATAAAATATGCTAAGTTTTGTTGAAATGGCTCCCATACATACGTTCCTCCAATTTCATGGAATTGTTCACTAAATTAAGCCTAAAATAGCCCTGTTCAACCATGGGAACTGGTGCCCTTGTTTACATGTATAAAAAAGTGCGTTCTCTGTGTTCTCTTTTAGTAAGTCATTTCATTTGTTCTCTGAGAATTTTTTCGTTGCACACCTCTAGCCTAAAATGACGTGTATTTGGCTTTTTTATAATATACTAGCGGGCCCGGCAAACGTTGTCTTGCCTCCGCAATATTGTTAAGAAATAATTTTCGGTATTTTAGATTTCTTTTTAAATTTCTATTCATACTTGAATCAACATATTTTTTGGTAAGAAATATGCAGGAACATGATTGATTTACATAAACTTTTTATATTTTTTCTCACATATCGATCTTGTTCGTTACATCGGAAGCTTTAGCACACATTTAAATATAATTCTCTACAGTATAAAATATCAAGTTTCAGTTGGGTTGGGTCCAAAACACATCGTTTGTATTACCTAAGGCAGCATTACAGTTTTGAGTATATACTATTTGATGTTTATGACCGAGTCTTGTTGCTAAAGAAAATAAATGAATTTATAATTGACAAATTTGCCAGGATATTTTACGATTTTTATTCTTGAGTTATAAGCGGTGAAATTGTCAAAAAGGCAAACGTTGTTTTACCTTCTAAAATTTTCTTGGATATAATTTTTGTAATAATTAAATTCATGGAAAATAAATTTAAATAAAGTCATATCATTTAGACATCAAGAGCTGGAATTATCGTTTAGGATTCGGTTTAAATAGATTCTTTCCCAATATGTTTATACGACTTCCATATAACGGTAGCCCAATGCTAAGTAAGCTTATTATATCTTTCACCATATGGTAAAGTGTATATTAAATTGGTTCGAAATCACGATAGTGATTGCAATATTTAACCCTTTAAGATAGAGATTAATGATTGGATGCACAAAATTTGACATCGATATATCCTTGCAAAATTTGACATCGATATATGAAAATGGGAAAAAATAAAGTCCAATATATAGTCAGAAAAATCATTTTAAATTATCCTCTGAGAATCAAAAATAATGATGGTATACACGGTTTTCAACCAAATTTTTTAATTTTTTTAATTTTCTGCAATTTGGTATTTTGCTTTTTTAATGTATAGCGAACCTACTTACTAAAAATAATTAATATTGACTCAAGTTTCGAGGTAGCCCCACATATAACGGTACCTCCAATATTTCGCATTTTGTCTGTGATTTGCTACCTTTGACGACATCGTCCCACTTTTTATGATAGCTCCCATATAACGATACTCCCCATTATTCCTTATTTTATGTTGTTTGGCTAATTCGGCTAAAATTTAGATTTTGAATTCTCATATGGTAGCAAATCTTTCTACCAAAAACTATGAATATAGGTTCACTTTTTAAGATATCCCCCATATAACGGTACCACCATTAGTGTTTAGTGTTTTAATCTACAGCATGGATTTTAGAATCAAAATTCTATGAATGGACACAAACTCGATTCAGAATGACTTCTAATTTTCCATCCTTGCATTTGTTCCAAAATTATGTGAAATATACAAATACAATGATCGCGTGTGCAATCAATGATATACTTCTCAATTATTTTTTTGTATTCTCACATAAAATACAATGTCAATCTTATTGAAAAAATAAAATATTTTGGAAATTTTCAATAATTGACAAATTTGGGATTAAAAGGAACGATACGCTACCAATTTTTGACCAAAATATCTCAAATTAAAACTACGACATGGTGCAATCAAAATACCCCAATACTAAACTCGTGGAAATGCAAATTTGCTACATAATATTTGTTTGCAAATTTTTCGCGGTTTTCGATTTTTTCTCACCTTTTAAACTTTCCCTGGATCTCCACGAACATTTCAAGACTAAAATAAGAAAAATCCGATCAGCCGTTCTCGAGTTTTAGCGAGACTAACGAACAACAATTCGTTTTTATATATGTATGTATATAGATATACATATAGTATATATGCATATTTTCCTCCGATTTCATGAAAATTGTGCACCAAATTAATAAAGACCCCAAGTCTGCCCGAAATCAATCATGGAGCTTGACCTGACTACAGACAAAAACAAAAAACATGTGTAGAAAATGTCAACCCTCTTTCTCAATTTTTCGTAACATTATGTGATTACCACAACCGATCTTCTGCAACAATTTACATTGAACTCAATTAAAATGCTCAATATCATTGTTGTCTGATCATGTTTCGTTATTTATTATAGCCCCCATACAATCAGTGTTCGTAATGTATATATATATATATGTAACTGTATTATGTATTTATCGCTGTAATCAATAGCAATTGATTAATATCGATATGACATTCGCAATTTAAAAGTGTTGTTTAATATTTTACGAACACAAAATGATATTATCTTTAGGATATATGATATATTGTCTGCAATAAGCAACTGATAATATTAACTGTATGTATTCATAAATTACAAATTACATACTAACATGCATTATTCCCCTCAAAAATTCAATATAAACTCAAAAACCACTTTATAATATATACAGACATGTAAGAAGACAATTACACATGCTCGAATACTTACATTATGACTAGCGTCGGCAATTTGTTTCAATCCAACTGACAAATTTCTCAATTTGCCGGTGTTCAGGGACAGACGTGACAACAATGGTTTGGCCAAACCATTGCGTTGTGCTTCGACGAGATCCTTGGCGTTGGCCTCCAGAATGAAAGCCTCACGGCTAACCAATAAATCAGCCAACGTATTAACAGCACAAGCTCTTTGCTCTGCTGACAAGCTTTGCAACTGACGGCTGCCAATGCGTGCTACAGTTTCCCGACAAGAAGAAATACACGCAACGAATTCATAAACGAACCATAGCCAAGTGTAACATGAAAAGAAAGCAGAAAATCAGAATCAGAGAATATACGTGAACATGACTTGTTTTGAAGCAGTTTCATTTTTTACAATTCTATTTTTGGTTTGCCTTTCTGACAATTCAACGTAAATGTTAGTTCGGACCATGATAAATGATGCGGCAGTTTCATTTCCGCCACTGTCTCTAACATTCAATTCTTACAACACAAACGTATTTTTAAAACAAACCAAACGAATAAAAATGAACATCCAGTGATTCCTAAAGATAATAAAACTATATTTTCTTTGAAATAAAGACATGTTTATGCTCGACTGTTATTGCCAAAGTTATTGATGAATTGCAAAAAGATGATTAATGGAAATATGACAACTGAGACCACTTTTTAAATTGAAATCATAGATTTATATTAAATAGAGCAACAATTCGGATGTTAAGTACATACAGATGTAACAGCATAACCACATAGTGATGTAGGATAGGAATATGTTAAAAATGTTTAATAGTTGTACTATGAGTGACAGAAATTGGATGCAATGTGAGTTTTCAATGGTTTTGGTATATAATCTTATTGCCTTTTCACACTAAGCCAGCGATTTTTGATGTTTATCTATATGTGAACCGACGTAAATAATTCCACACACATGTCATTGTGCAACCTATGCTAAATTTCATTTCATATCTCTAGCACACGTCATTATAGACTCAATAGGGTATAGTATTCCAGATTTTGTCTTTTGATTTGGACATATGTATATTGGAAGTTTAGTGCACTATTTAAATAAAATATATATGAACCGAACATATATATGAACCGATTTTTTCAATTTCAGTAGGTTTCGTCCTTGGGCCAAATAAATGAGTTGTGCCAAATTTCATCAAATTCGGATCATAAATGCGACCTGTTCACATGTCATTCCTCAATTTACGCTAGATTTCATTTCATTCGGACATATATAAATCTATTTCAACCAAACTTGACACACACTATTCGGTATGGTGCAGCACAGCGCACTGTGCAAAATTTAATCTCAATCGGACACCCGCTGATCATTTAGTGCATAATTAACATATAGGAGCTAGATCTGCATCTGCACCAATTTCTACGAAGCGCAATAACGACATGTATGGCAAATTCTTACACGTTGTTCAAAATTTCTTTTTAATTAATATTAATCGGAAAAAACTGGCTGTCTTTTGCCACACTTACATCAAATCGCGCAAAAATATATAAGGGGGTTATATCAAAATCTCAACCAATCTCAAGAAGACTTAACACACGTTAGGTTATACTTGCGTTAGTAAGTTTTGTAACATTTCGTGCTAATCGAGAATCTATTGGGTCCTTCATGCACCCTTTACTTAAAATGGGATCTGTATCTAAGTCTAAACTGATTTCAACGAAACTTAACACATATTATTACACACTAAATACGGTATGGTGTTCCAAATTTGGTCTTAATCTGAAGAATATTGGGAGTTTAGTAGACCATTTACATCAAATCGGCCAAATATTAAAGGTTTATATCTTAATGTGGACATGTCATTCAGACAAAATTCTGTGCGTTATGCAAAATTTCGTGCAAATCGAAAGAGATATAAGGGCTTTTGCGAACCCTAATAAACACGAACGAAAATATATATGGGAGCTATATCAAAATCTGAACCGATTTTCACGAAACTTAACACACGTCATTGCATACTCAATATGGTATGGTATTTTGAATTTGGTCTTAGTCGGATAAACATTATGAGTTTAGTGCACCATTAACCTCAAATCTAGGCACAATTCGCTATACAAAATTTCGTGCAAATCTAAAAATAATATATGGACTGTAGAGAACCATTTACATGAAATCAGACGAAAATATATATGGGAGCTATATCTAAATTTGATTTTTTTTTTTAATTTCGATAGGGCTTGTCTTTGGGACAAATAAGTAAGGTGTACCAGATTTCATCTAAATCGTATAATAAGTGCGACATGTACTTTGTTTACAAGTTTACATCAACAGACAGACGGAATGACGGAAGGAAACATTTGACATTTTTAATTTTGCACAAACATTGCTAATACTCCTAGGATTTTTTGGTGTATTTTGGGAGTTTGGACACGTCTTTTTACCGAATTGGCTGTAATTTGGTACTTTGGGTTTTCAGTATAGTATGAGTCGGACGGGGCCGACCATACGACACCATACACAACTATCTCGGACATCTATCATTCTGCGGAGGTTTATTGCGAGCCAGGGAAATATTTCGTGATATTTGCACCCTCATGCATCACTATAGGTGAAAAACACTTCTTCCTTACTGACTGACATATTTTCGAATATTATTAATTTCAGTGCAGCCCTTCTAATTACTTGTCCAGATTCCTTCACAGTGGGTTGTGTTGTGATGTAATTGTGGCCTGCAGATCGACTCTAACAAACACAAAAAAGTAAGTTTTCGGTCCACTTTATCCCAAAATTATAATCTGATCATCGCTTCTCACGTCTTTTTCGGTATTTTCAAGTTTCTAACATAGGATGAGTTTTCCCTAGGAGTCCCCATTAATTTTACATATTTTGAATGTCATCCTAATGGTGGAGGATATAAAAAGTTTGGACGATCTAAAACTATTAACCTTTTCTGATATACTACAATAAATCCCGACTCAAAAGAGGGTGAACATCGGCTTCAGCTATGTTTAAAAAATTGTCAATATTTTCTATAAATATTCCTTATTTCTTTTCATACACCCAAACTTGCAAAGTTCTTGTTATTATTCAAATTTCAATTAGCATTTCAAATTCATTCCAAAAGCACAATAAATAATTAATTATCATTTTATAGAATTTCTAATTTAATTTGGACCAATTTCAGATTGTTTTTAATTTCCTTTCAAATAAAAGTTCATGTATTGACATTTTAATGTAATACAAAGTTGAAAGACCAATAACAATTGCATCCACCCAACATATTTAACGAAATGAAACCACAATTCATACTAGCTACTAGAAAATATTCACAATGTAAACTCTTAAAATTTTCTTTTGTTGTATCGAGCAATTGCATTCATTCTTCATTTTTGGTAATTTACGTCAATTAAAAAAAAAACATTTTAATTAAAATAGTTCTGCTTAACCACAAAGCAAAAAAACAAAAATGTCCAAAACTAGAAGTAGTAGTCGTGAACTTACTCGACATATGGAGAGTGGACAGTTGTGTGGTAAAACTTATATTTTTAGCCGAGAATAATTCAGTTAAACTGTAATTTGAATTAAGCCCACAAGGATTTTACTCCAAGTATCCACAGTGTGTGGAAGGCCAGTTTCGAATAAATTATTGTACCACAAAAAAAAAAATAATAATAATAATGTTCCCAATGAATTGTTATGCTCAAAATGCCGAAAGGGATGAAGATAATGTTTTCCTTATTTTACGTATATATATCTCATCAATATGTATATGTACAAAAAACACAATTTGTAACACTGTCCTGCTGATTTATCCGTGCCAAGGAATTTGGTTACAAAAATTCAAATAATAAAAGTTTGATGAAACTTTCGAAGCATTTGCTTAACAAGAACACAAACACTGGCATAGAAAATGAAAAATTGTTAGGCCGTAACAATGAGGGCGACATAAAATGGAAATTTACAACAAATTGCACTGCACGCCCATCTAATGGCATGAAATTAAGTTTTTTCTTTAAAAACGAAAACTTAATGTTCAACGCTTAGAAACTAGTATTATACGTACCGTTTTCTGCAAGTTCTTCGACAGGAGTCGTGTAGCCCTCTGTTGATTCTGTAAAGAATGTTCCCACTTTCCTGCCACCAATTATAGTCTTAATGGCCTTTTCTTGCATACCGTTACATATTACAACACTAACGCCACGGTCTAGTGCCCATGTAGCTGCTTTGACTTTGGAGTCCATGCCACCTGTACCAACCTAAAAAAACAACAAAAAGGGAAAACGTAATGCTTATAGCGATATGTTCACTCCAACACTTTTATAAAATATGCAATATACATTTGGAAGTACCACCATTAGTATTAATGGTTTGTACGTTGCACTAAAATATATTCAAATTACATAATTTCTGATTAGTTCTTGAAAGAGAAAAACTACAAAAGTTACTATTTAATTTATACTAAAAGGGTCAATATATCATATGTACTGAGATTCTGCTAATATTTGATATTAATCACAAAAATTGCGATGTTTTGGACAATAAATACTGAATTTACTCTATATAGAAATCTGTTAAGAATTGCAATGGTGAGAGTGGGTGATTTCACTCAAAGTTTTAATTAGTAAAATGCAAGCATCATTTACGGAAATGCAATTAGTTTCTTTGCCAATCCCTCCTTCAACCTTGTAATGTAGCTAAAAATATTCTGTTTACTTTTGAAACCTTTGAAAATCTTTACCAACCTTTTGAAAAAAGTTTTAAAATACTTTGCTTCAGGTCAGATGTTAAAATTGTATAAAGGGGGAAACAACATAAATATTTACATTCAGACAATTGGATATCTAGCTAATTTAAATTCAACTAATAATTTAACTTGTAACTACATAGTTATGAGATTGAAATTGAACTTAATCTTCTATTCGTCGAAATTTTTTTCGATTTAGAAATAGGGCCAAAAAGTCATTTATTGCCTTTTTCCTGATGTCATATATTTTCATTTCCAAAACGGAGTTACAAACTTATTAGACCCTTATATCATTTATATACAATGTTGGGTTTATAATTTTTAAATCTTGGTCTTTTTTTAAATCTAAAATTGTTGTAAAAAGAAAAAATATATTTGTTCACATACATACTAACAAATCAATATGTGAAAAAATTGCATTCCGAAATTTACCATCATCTTTATGCATATATATATATATTGTCCTTGCCTAAATGTGTGGGGTATAGAAAGGGATAATACCCGTCTTCCCTTTACATACATATATGCCAATGCACACATATATATATATATATCAAGCAAACACAGAATATGTATAGAATGGAAAATACCTGGGATTAAATTCAGAAGATTTTTTGTGCATTTTCACTACCATTTTTTTTAGCTTAAAGCGAATTTAAATGTTCTTTCGGTTTTACTTTTTTTCTCTTCTTCTTATTTAATACCTGGTGTGTGACTGCTCCTGATAAACTACACAAGAAATATTTGAAATGACGTGATTCTTGTACGTCATCTATGAATAAAAAAACGTTAGTGAATAAAAAATGTTAGTGTTCCGTAACCACCAAAGTGCCTTTTGTGGGAAATTCAATTTTGTTAAAAGTTTCAACTGGAAATGAAAAACATTCTAACCTTTTTATAAGTGTTAAAGACAAATTGGTTGGTTAGTTTCCGAGCAGCAGAGTTTAAGAGGAAAATTCTGTTACTTTTTTCTCCCCGCCGTAGTATCTTCACTGTGTTTTTCGTTTTTCCCATTTCTTAACAATATTGCCATAGAAGTTTGCTTGATGGCCTTATTGCAAATGTACTTTCAGTGGCAAACAGTCAATGTCCTTGGATGTAAGTTAAAGTGAAATTTGTGCGAGGGCTGTTAAAATCAATTGGTTGAAAACTCAAATGAGTAATCCTATCAGTTGTAGTCTATTTAAAAATTGGGAAGGAACGAAACTTCGACATTTGTTGTAATGTTGCAGACTTTGTATCTTTTCTGATATTTGGAATATATCAAAATAAAAGGATATTTCTATGCGATTATAGGAGAGTAGCGTGCTGGAACATAGTTTGCGATTGTTTAAAGGTGTATTTAAAAATTCAAAAATCAAAACAAATTTTAAAAAAATTCAAAAATCAAAACAATGTTCCCAATTTTCAAAACTATTTTTTATTTCAAGCCTACAGACCAAGAGTATTACTTATACCAAATTTCAAGATTCAATCTCTATACTTTAACTAAACTTATAATTCAGCCGTCGATTTAAATATAAATAATATAAAAAATTAACACCTCGCCCTGGCGACAATATCATTAATTAAAATTATGTGAATTGAGGGACGACAAATTGTTGCAAAAATTGCATTTCATAGTTCATTGTGACAAGGAATCATAAAAAATGTAAAGCAATGAAGTTCTAAGAAAAAATTGAGTAATTATTCTCTCATGATTGCATGTCTGAATTGCCAAGAATGTTAAGTGGACTACAAGAAAGAAATTGTCGCAAGAGGGCCATGAACTTCATAAATATTAGTTCGTATGTCCAAGTGTTTTTGGCTGTTGAAAAGTAAAATATATAAAAACAATATAATGTGGCTCAATTTACATTTCAAATTTTCTTTGCATTGAGCAAATTTGTGTAGGCTTTCATTTAAGTTTTTATTAGTTTATTGTAATGGTGTTATAGTTCAACCAACCACTTGGACATATTCTGAATGAATTTTATGTCAACATTTAAATTTAACGAGACCCGCTATAGAGTATCCTACAAAACATCGGGTGTGTAATATATCTTTGTAGAATTCATAGTTTAACCTACCAAAACTTGGAAAATTACCAGAATAAATGATATTTATAGATTGTAAAAGGGGCTTGCTTCTTTTAGAAAAAAGACGGGCCGATTTTTAATAACCTCCACCATGAGGTGCATATTTAGAATATATAACATCGATTGGGCTTTTCAGGAGGATGGGAAATACCAAACTACAGATACTAAGATTGTGGGGAGGATGCTTACATTGTGAACCCAAAACATCAAACTACAGTCACTTCCATTGAAAAACGTGTCTAAAATCCCCGAAATACCGAACATTGGAGGATAATGTTATATGGGGGCTAACCCGAATCTTGGGTGAATGTTTTAAGTGTAGAGGTTCATAATACATTAGGAACCCAAAAGTACAAAATTGTTGTCAATTCGATTGAAACATGAGCCAATTTGACGACAAACGTTATCTTAACACTAGAAAGACTGGAATTTTGTACATACCTATATTGCCTAAAATCGGTCAAATGACCTCATTCTGAAAGAATGATTATTGTGTAAAGAAATTTTTTAATACTTATTTTTTAATATTTTTACATTATTCACAATCATACAAAACGTTGTTATTATTTGTTTTCGGTGGGGTCTCTCGAGTTTCCCTTTTTGAAAAATAATAGCGCGGACAAAATGTTCGAAAAGGAGTATGTGTTTTCTCTAAGAGTGAAATCGACTGGAAATATAAAATTTATTTTGCCCGAGCTGTGTGTTCGTTTGTGTTTCTAGAGTATCAAACGTATGTCGATGTTGTTGTACTGATCTGGTCATATAAAAAATTTATTTTATACAATTATAAAAGTATTTTGATTATTTATTTCACAAGAGGTCAAAATGGCCGGTTTTAGGCAATATAGGTATATCACATGTGAATACGGGGAATGAAAGATGGGGGAAGCAGCTACTATTATTAATATACGTAGTTCTGTGTGGTACAAAAAGTCACCAAATTTTAAAAAGGTATGTCATAATATACACAATTGTTTTGTACTTGAAATTACCGCCTTCGGCAATCTAGTGTTTATGTGGTCATCATCCATCCCATTGTTATAGTACCCTCCAGAAGGAGATGCTTGTTTGACATGAAACTTGTACTTGTCTTTATGTTCTACAAACATAGTATTCATTAATTTATCAATTTTTTCATGCAAATTATGGAATGCAAAACAACGTTAGCTGGGTCAGCTACTATACAATAATAGCATTCCCCAAAGTTCACAAGTCAAGGTCCATTTATTCACCAATCACTCATCGTATAGTCGGCCCGCTCGACTTTGATGCTCCCCTTAATAGTATAAAGTGTATTTTTAATGATTTCTTTAATCATTTAATTTGCCACAAATTTTAATGGCCATCTATATATATTTCCAAAATTGCATATTTTCATAATGACTTCAGCAAGCATTTTTACCTTCTCACATTTCTCATGCTATAATTATTCTGTAAAGTAGCGATAGGAACCCGATGAAACAAAATTAATAATTATTACTGTTAATCTTAATTGAATGTCGAAAATTTAATTTGTTTCATACAAATTTCATTTCATACTTATATTACGAATGGCATTTCTATTGGACATACCCAACAAGTCTGAATTTACAAACGAACTTTTAAGAATTAGAGATGAAATTGTGTTTGTCCAACTAAAAACTTTTTTCGTTTTTTACTAAATGCCTACAAATGTGCCACTATCCCTTGTATATTTTTTATTATTCGTAACAACGAAGACATACATACACAAGATTTTTTCTCTTGGGACATATTTTTCAGCTCAGTAAATGTTCCACACAAACCTGTCTGTCAACAAACTATAGCATTTGTTCTGCAAACTGTGCCACGAATGCGGAACAAAATTAATCCTATGAATACCATTTTAATGTACTTACCTTGGACTTCTTTCCGAACTCGATGAGACGGCTGTCGTTGGTTGTGTACGTGTGCATCAATTTGGCGCCATCTTCCCACGGTGGTTTATTGTAAATGCCATCAACATCCGACATAAGGATAAGCAAGTCTGCTTGTACCTCAGCAGCCAGCATGGCTGACAAACTATCGTTATCCTTTATGGCAATTCCCTAAATAAACGCAAACGACAGGACAATGAAATGAGTTAGTCAAGCCTTTCGGTGTGTTCTTTTCAAAACGACAGCCACAGTTGCCACCGGCAGTATTAGCCTGGCTAATACATTCTGTCATTTACTGAAAGTTACATGAACAGTTTGTGGTGCTCTGACAATGGCAGCATCTGCATTCTTGCATTTCTTACCTTTTTGGATCCCGCGGGAAGATCATCATCTACTATGAACATGGGTGGAGAAACGGCGTCGTTTGTATTTATAATTGGCACAATGTTCAAACTAATTAGCTCCGACAAGGTGCAGAATAAATTGTTGCGAGTCTCATCGTTGTAGAAGTCGGGTTTTGTGACGAGGACCTAAATAAATTGTGCAAAAGAAAAGATGCAAAAGTTAATGATGATAATCCATTTGAACAATGTGTAGCGTTGTATGTTTGTATGAACTGTGGAGCATATTAATTTTTTACATTATTTTTTGTAATTTAAATAGAAATTATTTTCTATATTACCTAGATCAGTTAAGCTTTACGCCATTTTAACTAACGTTATACGACGAACAACTGATGCTGATTGGTATAAAAAACCAGAAAGGAAAATTCAAAAGTCGGACGGCGCCGACTATATGATACCCTTCACAACTTTGAGTACATATAAGATATTTTAATGTGTATATATCCTGCAGATAGAACAGACATCTGATCCGATTCCAACAAAACTTCGCATACATCAATAAGAAGCTAATTCAGTGCAACACTTTGTTTCAATCGGACAAACATTGGTAATTTGGTACTATATTTACATAAAATCGGAGAAAACTATATATGAGAGCTATATCTAAATCCGAACTGATTTTCTCCAATTGCAATACAACAGAATGGTAAAGTGTATAACAGCATCTGAATTTTGACAAAGAAAGAAATTATGGTTCACCTTTTGATGCAGTGTATATTAATTTTAACATTCCATTTGAATGAGTCTTTAACAGAGAACTTGAAAATTATGTCGAAAAATAAACCCTTTTCAGGAGGAGCTTCATTTTAGCCGTTCTCATGATGAACAGTGTGGCATAAAATGCTACCCTTATGCACTACGGTACTTGTTCAAGAATTTTCCACATCCGGTTTTGAAGAATTTCCAACATCCATTACATCACATCGAAATAAATCTGTAGTGGATGTGATACTGTTAAACACTACATAAGCAAGGTTCGAGGTTCCTTTCAATTCCTTATTTTAATTCTGAAGTGCTGAACTTTAGCATTTTTGGGATTTACTATAGCATTTATATGGTTCTCATTTGGTAATAAAAATAACCTGGTAATAAAAAAACCTCTATTAATGACCACGTCAAATTTTTGTATGTTTAAGGCAGCATTTTGAGAATGAAGAGAGTAAATTTCTCTTTAGTACGGAAGATATTTGCAATTAAAATCTACATTTTAACGTTAGGTATCCCTAAGGTTTTGCCTGTTTTTTTTCAGTCAGAATGGCTTAGCAGGAAATCTTATAATATTTTGGTATTACGTTCTATTATAACCCTTTCGAGCAATGGATTTTTAGTATAGCTCTAAAGCTCTCACAATATTGTTTACATTATGCTCCACAGTTAAATATATTTACTACGCAAAATGAATGAAATGAATGAAATCATTTTATATTTACCTGTGCTATTTTAACACCATATTGTGCAAACATGGCATCATACAGTGACATTAAACCAGATTGACCAACGGCAGCAGCTGCTCTCGGATCCAATAAGAACCCATCTTCCTATAAGTATGAAAAACAAGTTAATTTTGCTCATTGTCAGCTTTAATCGAAAATGGTTCAGATTAATATTTACCGCTTTAGAGTGATCCTTGGGCGCAAGTGTCTCACGCATAGACAGTGACATCAACAGTTCCTGGGTTAATTTTTGTTTACCAAAGGCAACAGCACCGCTGGTAACCATCATAACTTCACGGCCCTCCAAGTGGCATTCAGCAACCTTGCGATAAGAAGTGTTAAACATACATACTATGTGTAAATATGCAAAATCATAATTATAAAAAAATTACATACATATATGTATGCATGTGTGTGTTATTAAAGGTTACTTTATTACAACGAACTACATTTTTGTTATTAAAATATATTTCTTACTAGTACACACGCACATATCCATTTACAAATCTGATTACAAGATTAAAAATATAATATGTATGATGCTTATCTTTTTAAATGGATATTGATTTACTATTTTTAAGGAGAATTATAATAAAAAATATTCATACTTCGTTATTTCATACAATCAAAGAATTTTTAAATTTAATATTTCGTATAATGAAAATTTGTCAGCGTTAAATTTTATTAATATGAAAAACTAACTGCAAATTATTAAAGAATTTTAAAAAGTTAACATATATATATATTTGCAATATTTTCATCGTTCTTTTTTTCCTTACTTTATCTGTATAATTAACAACATTATTATTCTTGACTAACCTGCTCAACAATGGAGGCTAGACGGCCAAGAGCAAGGCCATGATTATCTTCACGGGTGATAACAGCACTTCCCAGTTTCACAACGAGGCGGCGGGCATATTTCAGTTGACTTCTTTCCGTGAATGTTGGTTGTTTCCGTTCCAGACTAAGACGTTTCTCCGGCGTTGTAATCTAATAGAGTAGACAAAATAGAGAGAACGTTATTTCATAAGCATAAGAATTGAGGCCACATAATTTAATCACAAACAAATCACGTCATTGAAATATATTTTCCCATAACAATGTGAATCGTAATGATTTAAAGGGTCGCTATTGAAATTAATCGAACAATATTTTTGTCGTTATTTAAAAAAACTACGTTAATATTCGTTAACTGACTAAAGCCCGTTTTATAATAAATATATTTTCTATATTCCGTGTTTAAAATAGTAACAGGGATGCCAGCGTATAAATAGACCAGGAATTGAATTTAATGGATGAACATGTAGTTTTCTCATAATATTTGTTCTCTCAGATCGGGTTCCTTGGAATTTTGAAATATATTTCTTTAACTTAATTTTAATAGATGGATAAACTGTAGTCAACAATACATAAATAACAGGGGCGAAGTAGGACAAGGTACTCCGCAGGGAGGGTTACGTGGCTGTGAGGACTTTACAGCTGTAAGGACCTTAACTGAGGAGGGATTTGAACCCGTCAGTTATACAGATGATGTTGTAATGGGGAAAGAACCTTTAGTTTTTATGTAGGAAGGCTGAAACCTCGTTAAACATTGCCTAAAATCAGGCGAGGGCGATCCTTTATAACGTAAATCCGGCCACTGGGATGACCAAAAATAGGACAGTCTGAAGAACACATCTTTCAAAACAAAGTGGTAAGCATATCAAATAAAGTTAATGGGAAGACCACATACAGGACTGGGTAGATAAGGCCCACAGATGCTGGTCCTCCTGTATAAGAGCTGTAGTCTACAAATGGGTTTAATGCAAATTTGATACACTGGATCTATAAGAGCGTTATAAGGCACATTCTAACATACATAGTCTAGTGGACAGCAATGAACAAAAATTGTAATTTAAAATAGTTACAGAAAGAGAACATGCTTCCTAGGTATATGCGGGCCAATGAGGACAACACCAGCTAGAGCTTTGGTGACAATATTGTATATATATCTAAATAAGTCTTAATGCTGCGTCCGTCGCAGCTTCAAGACATAAAGCTATAAACAAGTGGATCTACTCCGGAAACAATAGACGCATCAACGACCTTCACGAGGCGCGGATTTTTTTAAATATTTTTTTCAATGTCCCCCACAAGGAATGGATTTTTTAAAAAATGTTTTCAATGGCCTCCACAAGGCGTGGATTTTTTAAATAGTTTTTTCTTAGACCAACATAAGGTGTGGATTTTTTAAATATATTTTTCTTAGACCTACTAAGGCGTGGATTTTTTAAATAATTTTTTCTTAGACCTACATAAGACGTGGATTTTTTAAATAATTTTTTCATAAACCTACATAAGACGTCGATTTTTTTAAATATTTTTTTCTTAGACCTACATAAAGCGCGGATTTTTTAAATAAGTTTTTCTTAGACCTACATAAGGCTTGGTTTTTTTAAACATTTTTTTCTTAGACCTACATAAGACGTCGATTTTTTAAATATTTTTTTCATAGACCGACATAAGGCGTGGATTTTTTATATAATTTTTTATTCCACCTACATAAGGTTGGATTTTTTATATAATTTTTTCTTCCACCTACATAGGCGTGGATTTTTTAATTAACTTTTTTCTTCGACCTACATAAGCGTGGATTTTTTAATTAACTTTTTTCTTCGACCTACATAAGCCTGGATTTTTTAAATAAATTTTCTTCGACCTACATAAGCGTTCATTTTTTAAGAAAATTTTCTTCGACCTACATAAGCGTGGATTTGTATACCCTTCACCACAGTGTTGTGTAGGGTATTATGTCTTTGTGCATATGTTTGTAACATGCAAAAGGAAACGAGATAGACACAATATGCATAGAATTTTCTTCGATTTATGCATGTCCGTCCGTCTGTCTGTCTGTCCATGTTAAATTGTAAACAAAGTACAGGTCGCATTTATTTGGATGAAATTTGGCATAGGTCACTTGGGAAAAATCGGTTCAGATTTAGATATAGCTCCTATATATATATTTAACCGATTTGATGTAAACGGTCCATATATATCTTTCGATTTGCACGAAATTTGGTACAGCCTAATCATTTTTTGCCAAGTTTCGTGAAAATCGGTCCAGATTTAGATATAGCTCCCATATATAGTTTCGTCCGATTTCATGTAAATGGTGCCCCAAAGTCCCTATATATCTTTTCATTTGCACGAAATTTGGTATAACGTGCTGAATTAAGCCTAGAGTGATGTATGCCAAGTTTGGAGAAAATCGGTCCAGATTTAGTCCGATTTGATGTAAATGGTCCACCAAAGCCGCTAAATATCTTTCGATTTGCACGAATTTTGGCATAACGTACTGAATTGAGTCTAGAATGATGTCTGCCAAGTTTCGTGAAAATAGGTCCAGATTTACATATAGCTCCCTTTTATTATAGATTGATTTTAAGTAATAGATTGATTTAATTTTATGGAACCAATAGGAACAAAACGTTCTGAAATTAGTATAACCTAACCTGCGACAAGTGTGTTTGAAATCGCTCAATATTTGGATAGAGCTTCCAGATATATTTTCGCCCGATTTCAAGTAAATTGGGCATCAAACTCCTCATGTTAGTCAGATTGGCATCAAATTTTGCAAAATTGAGCATAGAATTACGTAGTTGCGTTTTCTAGAAGTGCAGACATAGCCTAACGGATGACCTATTTATATTTGTTTGAAGTCGATTGACATACTTTATGGATAGATCTAGGTAGATTCACATTTAGATAAATATCACATTGTTTTTCATCCAATTTTATATTTTATTTTTTATCATATAATCGGCCCCGTCCGACTTTACTACTTTCCTTACCGGTTTAAATAATTTTTCTTTGACCTACATAAGCGTGGATTTTTTAAATAATTTTTCTTTGACCTACATAAGCGTGGATTTTTTAAATAATTTTTCTTCGACCTACATAAGCGTGGATTTTTTAAATATTTTTTCTTCGACCTACATAAGCGTGGATTTTTTAAATAATTTTTCTTCGACCTACATAAGCGTGGATTTTTTAAATAATTTTTCTTCGACCTACATAAGCGTGGATTTTTTAAATAATTTTTCTTCGACCTACATAAGCGTGGATTTTTTAAATAATTTTTCTTCGACCTACATAAGCGTGGATTTTTTAAATAATTTTTCTTCGACCTACATAAGCGTGGATTTTTTAAATAATTTTTCTTCGACCTACATAAGCGTGGATTTTTTAAATAATTTTTCTTCGACCTACATAAGTGTGGATTTTTTAAATAATTTTTCTTCGACCTACATAAGCGTGGATTTTTTAAATAATTTTTCTTCGACCTACATAAGCGTGGATTTTTTAAATAATTTTTCTTCGACCTACATAAGCGTGGATTTTTTAAATAATTTTTCTTCGACCTACATAAGCGTGGATTTTTTAAATAATTTTTCTTCGACCTACATAAGCGTGGATTTTTTAAATAATTTTTCTTCGACCTACATAAGCGTGGATTTTTTAAATAATTTTTTTTCGACCTACATAAGCGTGGATTTTTTAAATAATTTTTTTTCGACCTACATAAGCGTGGATTTTTTAAATAATTTTTCTTCGACCTTCATTCCTCCTAGGATGCCCTAATGTAAATACATACAAAAGTTCAAGCTGAATTTAACCACATTTTAATAGTATGCAAAATTATTCAATAATTTGGATTGTTTTGGCAACACATCTCTTTTGCCGAACCATTATGAGAGATTACGATAACTTTCTGTGGATTGACAACATAAAGAAATATGTACTTTGTGGATTTTGGTGCATAGATACCAAATTATTTACACACTTAACTTTTGTGGTATATCATCGATTGGAATACTGAATTGGCTACTGACACCAACTTCTATGCTAATTAACTCTTTAGTGGATTTAACTAATTACTAGCTCTCCAAAAATTACATTGAAATGATTAATTCAATTGAAAACCATTTGTTAGCATTTTTAATTTTTGTTTTTGTGTGTAAAAGACATATACAGTGTTTTTATAATTTAAACATGTAATGCGTCTCATTGAGTCAATAATATAATCAACTTCGATAGGTTTTTATAATGTTTTTTTCTTTTTATTAAATGCTAGCACATTTTTAATGTCAATAGTAACTATGTTCAAAGTCATTTCTTTTTTTCTGTAAAAATAAAATGTAAATATAGTAGCTCATATACTGATTTAATTTAATAACTCCCATTAACGTTATTTCACATTCACATGCTTTGAGTTTTTTTTTTATTAAGGTATAAAAATAAAATGCATGTGTACATATATGGATCAACATTCCCGTTAATTGTTTATTTTTAAAGAATAAACCCTATGGCAATATTCATTTGAAAATTAAATTATTTAAATTTATGTTGTTTATGGAACGATAAAAACGATGCTTGCGTGAGAAACGTTACAACTGGTTTAACATTGAATGTATGACTATTTTAGTGCAGGCATAAATTGAAACTCAATTGGCAATGAATATATAGTATACACGCAAATAAATATACTTACAAATAAATATACAAATATGACCACGGGGTTACATGATAAGAATTACATAGGGTAGTCTCATTTCAGTAATTAGTAATGGCAAAGCCTTTTCAAATGTATCTCACCCGTCAATCTTTTCTATACATTTGAAACAGAAAATAATATTTGAATATTTTCGAAACGTCGGCCGCGCCCAGGTTTCTATTTGTTTTAGTGATGACTTGGAAACAATTAGTTTAAACGCGGTCATAACCCCAAAAATACCAGTTAATATGAGCTACTCTAAAAAGTGTGCCAATGTGAATCCAAACAAGTGCGGAAAGCGTATACTGACAGGAACTTGGAATAAAAATATAGGGAACATACCAAAAAGTGAAGCTATACCGACATTTCTACAAACAAATGGTATGGTGGAACATCCCAAAAATACTGCTATTTATAGGTCACAGTTATATTAGGGGGTTGGGTGGAATCTGCTGGTATG